GCCCTGTCCTCAGGTTAAATGAATCCTGCCTCTCCCACCAGGAACACGATCCAGCTTTTCTCTTTAAGAAAGCTCCTCTGACTCCTTAGCCATTCAAAATGTGCCATCTAAACTCACTAAGGATATTGAGAAAAATGCATGCATAAATCCTTTCTCTCCAGCCCTGGGAGGGTGGAGAAAATGTCTTACCTATTGTTGTGTCATCAGGACCTAGTGGAAAATGTTGTAGCATAAGTTGAAACTGCTGCCAGTTTTCTTTTTTTTTTTTTTTTTAAAAGATTTATTTATTATTATTATTATTATTTTTTTATTGGAAAGGCGGATATACAGAGAGGAGAGACAGAGAGGAAGATCTTCCTTAATTAAAGATTTGCCAAATCTCTACTCTATGTTAGGTGCTATGTTGCACTCTGTGGGTGTAACCTGGTTTCCTGCCCACAAGTAACAAGCTAAGTAATTTGGAAGTCTCCCAGTTAGTGATGGACCTATAGCTTAAACCCAGCTTACCAGCTGCTGGAACTCAAACTGGCTTCCCATGTCAGTGTCCCTGGGTACCAAACTGCATCAGGCTGTCTTTGCTCCTGATTTTGAAGGCACTAGGGAGAGGCTTTGCTCATAAGTAGTCATGGACATTTCAGATTGTTTTCAAATAAAGCCCTAATTGTGCAGATAATTAAGAAAGGAATCATGTTGCAGAGAGCAGAAAGCTGTGATCTGTTGAAGCCCACTTTGACATTGGGATATGCATTTAAACACACAACACAGTGTTATAAAAGGCCACTATACTAAGATTGCAGTCACATTAAAGATAAAATTGCCTTATAAATTTTTAGAGAACTATAAGTGACACTGTCATCTTGGGAAATTTTTCCCTAATGAACCATGTTTTGTGGAGCCCAGGAGCCCTTCCTTTTCACCTCTCCATATTTTGTTCCAGGAGATCAAAAGGAAACTATCTCACTTTAAGCTTGACTCTTTGCTTGTTGAAGTTCTATCAAGTTGAACTGAAACCAAGAAAAGCCATTCCATGTTGAACTGAGAGCAGAATGCATTTTGCCGCATAAAAGTTTAATGATGGAAGATTATTATTTTAATCTCCTCATTTAACTAATTAAGGCCAATTAATGCCCTCCCTGTCAAGAAGAGATGTTGTCCAGTTTCGGCTGTTGATATTTTAACCAGCTATACTTTTGTATTTGGAGGAAAAAGTAGCAACTGTATTAAAAACCACTGAGTTTCCTCAAACCTCAGAAGAATTTAACCGCTAGGGAAATGTTCAAGAGTAGGAGGAGCCAGAAAACCTTCAGAAAAATGCAGTTTCTTCAAATTAGACATTGGGAGTGGCAACAGATAAGAGTAACTGGCAATGGCAATGGGTGATATCCTTTTTATTGGCTAGAAACACTGGCAGGAACTTTAACTACTAAATTTACTTGCAAGTTCTCCAAATGGAGTGATCATATTGCGCCATGGTTGCTTTTTCATAACATGCTACTTTGCAAACAAGTTCCTAGTACATCGTAAAATATTGAGTTCCAATCCTCAAAGTAAGTATAAAAGTGGAGCCTGTGCATTACACACCCCACCTGCAGAACATGAGCTTTACTATTCACCAAGCACGGACATATCGGTAGTACTTACGGTGAGAGCACACAGTCTTCATTGTCAAAGACTTAAATCCTCCAGGAGCTATTTATCCAAAATTGGCAACTTGGGATATCCCTGTTTGGCAAAGCATGTGTAGTCTGGTCTGATTTCAGCTAATAAATCTAAAACTAGAGCCACTGACCTCAGGAAGACAGGTGTCCTCTCACCCCAGCAGGTTCACATTCTTGGCAATGAAATGTGTGCTTGATTAAATTGCCTTGAACCCTGTTCTACTAGTTCAGGTATCCAGCCAGTACAGTGACCCCTTCACAAAGAAGGAAGAGGTTTCAACTCCTCCCCAAATAAATGTTTCTGTAATTAACTGATCATTACAATTTCTAAAATAAGTGTTTGCTTGCCTGAATGCAATACAACATCATTCATTCATTAATTAAATTAGTTCAATATCTATTGAATATTGACCTTCTGTCAAGAACTTGGCAGGCCATGGAGATAGAAATATTGATATTAAGGAATCTCTTTCATCAATAAACTCAATATAGAAATGCAATATTAGTTTGGGGAATCCAGAGTAGATCATATTTTATCCATTTTAAAAAAAAGATTTATTTTTGTTGCAAAGTCAAATATACAAACAGGAGGAGAGACAGAGAGCAAGTTCTTCTGTTCGATGATTCACTCCCCAAGTGACCACCACGGCCGGTGCTGCATCGATCTGAAGCCAGGAGCTTCTTTCAGGTTTCCCACGTGGGTTCAGGGTTCCCAGGCTTTGGGCTGTTCTTGACTGCTTTCCCGGGCCACAAGCAGGGAGCTGGATGGGAAATAGGGCCCCTGGATTAGAACCACATTCATGTGGGATCCTAGCGTGTGCAAGGGAAGGATTTAGCCACTAGGCTACTGCACCAGGCCCCAGTTATATGTCTTTGAAAAAGATCAGCTGACCCAAGTAAAGGGCACTCTCGGGCTCCTCTGTAAAAAATTCTCCTGAAGACAGCACCACATTCTGTTCTTTATTAGGTGCTCCATGTGAACTTCGAGCATCAGTTTGGGTACTCGTTTAATAACATGAATCTACTTTAAGTTGTTTTGGAGAGAAGGATTCTGACTAGATAAGTATTAAATTTCCATTGTAAAAAAAATTGGAAATGAGCAGACATGTAGCACAGCAATTAAGATGCCAGTGAGGTTGTCAACATCCATATACCAGAATGACTAGTTTGTGTCCTGGTTCTGCTCTTTATCCCAACTTCCTGTTAAGATGCACCCTAGAAGATAACAGGTGATGGGTGAAGTACTTTGGTCCCTGCCACTTCCATGGATTGAGTTCCCAGCTATTGACTTGGCCTGGGTCACTCCTACCCATTTTTGGCAGTTGAGTAGAGACCCAGTGGATGGAAAATTTTTTCCCTTTCAGAGTAAAAATAAGACATTTAAGAATATCTGGAAACAATATTAAAAAGGTAAAGCATAACAATAATAATTTTCAATATACCATCCAAGAAGTATGAAGCCATGCTTTTATCACATTTTAAGTAAAGGGGCTATGTTAAACATATTTTGCCCTCCTTTCTTAAAACATTTTTGTTTGTTTTTGTTTGAAGGGTAGATATTTACAAAGAGAAGGAGAGACAGACAGAGAGGGAGATCTTCCATCTACTGGTTTACTCTCCAAATGACAGCAGCAGCCAGAACTGAGCTGAGAAGAAGCTGGGAATCAGGAGCTTGTTCCTCATATTCCATGTGGATACAGAACCCCAAGAACTTGGGCTGTCTTCCACTGCTTTCCCAGGCCTTAAGCAGAGAACTGGATCAGAAGTGCAGCAGCCAGGACACAAACCAGCATCCATATGGAATGCTGGCACTAGCATGCAGAGGATTAGCCAGCACTACCATGCTGTCCTCTCCATGCTTCTTCCATCACTAATGTTATATCATGAACATAGTCCCATGCCATTAAATATAGCTTTTCATTGTTATTTTAAACTATTTCTTTGTATTTCATTGTTTTGTGCCTTAATTTGTTCAGGAGTTCCTGTACTGATGGACACTTAGATTATTTCCAAATGCTTCCTGCTATGAACACTCTAACAATGAATATCTTTGTGTTTAAAACTTTATGCCTTATCTAATGTTTTCCATAAAATTAGTCCCTAAAAGTGATTTTACATATTTTTAATATTTTTTTTGATGTGTTGTCAAATTCCTTTTTGAGTATGATGCTTCCCTCATTTAGGGCCTGAATTTCTAAATTCGAATTAAGAATATTAATTAGTATTATAATTAATATTAAGGCTATTTTTGGGACCAAAGATAGAAACTAATGACAATAATTAAAAATATTTTCACCTCTATATTTCTTTCTTGAACTGAGGAATATTATTTTTAAAACTGAGGAGTATTTTTTAAAGGACTTATTTATTTTTTGAAAGGCAGATTTAGAGAGAAAGTGAAACAGAGAGAGCTCTTCCATCTGCTGGTTTGCTCCCCAAATGCCACGATGGCTGGAACTGAGCTGATCTGAAGCCAGGAACCAGGAGCTTCTTCCAGGTCTTCCACGTGGGTGTAGGAATCCAAAAACTCCAGCCACACTCCCCTGCTTTCCCACTCTGTAAGCAAGGAACTGGATCAGAAGTAGAGCAGCCAGGACATGAACCCATGCCCATAGGGATGCTACCACCACTGGTGGAAAATTAGCCAGTCCTGAGATCTGTGACTTTTAAAAAAGTGAAATACAGAAAGTGTACACAAAATTTCACAGATATAAAGTGAGCTTAATAAAGATATGTAAACATACACATACATGAAGAAACATGATTAGGGTGGCACTGTGTTGTGGCCAGTTTTGCTGCCACCTATAACCTATATGAACTCACATTCAAGTCCTGGCTGCTCCACTTTTCACCATGCTCCCTGCAAATGCACCTGGAAAAGCAGCGAATAATAGCCCTAGCTCTTGGTCCCTGGCATCCACATGGGGGAAGCGGGATGAAGCTCCAGGCTTCTGAGTTTAGCTTTGCCCAGCCTTGGTCATTATCACCATTTGAGAAGTGAACCAGCAGATGGAACATATCTCTTTCTCCCTCCCTCCTCCTCCCTCTCTGTAATTTTGTCTTTCAAATAAAACAAATAAGAAGCAAAGCCTTTTCTCTTAAAAAAGAAATATTATTACCAAAAACCCAGAAATCTTCTTTGTCTTCTTGTAATCACTATGTACCATGACCATTTTCTTCTCAGGAAGCTCCCAGGCCATGATTGGGCACAGTGCTGGTACAAGTGACTGGGTATTTCTGCTCAATATGGGCCTTCTATGGAGTGGGCCGAGATCTTCTTAGTACTGTTTCTCAGTCTATCTTCCTACTCAGTCCTCCTTCTTTTTCCCTCTGCTTTTACAGATGCCAGATCTGCATCGTGACCTGGAGACTTTCTGTGACTACGTCCTGCTCTTTTCTCCTGTGGTTCTTTAACAGGTATGACCCGTAATAAATCTCTCATACTTCAAACTTGGCCTTAACAACTGCCTCTGGAAGAATGCAGTCAACATTGTTGATACTGGATGTGATCTGAAACAGCAAGCTGAACATTGGGATTGGACCACATGCTTCCCAGGTGGCCAGGCGAACCCCATCCTCAATGTTATGTGGGGCAGGGTAGTCCCCAACATAAATACTAGCCTAGTTGCTAACAGCATCATTAGTAGGACCTTGAAAATGACGGTAAGTGGAGATTGCAATGATGTAATGATTCAAGCCTTTGAAAAGCATGGGATCAAGGGGAGGGTAAGAAGGCACAAGCGGGACAGTGTGATCAGCTGATTACTAAAAACCTGATTGGACATCCCGCACAGGAATAATTGGCAAGGGAGTGAAGTTGACAAATAGTTATACCTAAATGTAAGAACATGTAGCTTATAGGATGGCAGAGTTAACACAACTGAAACACATACTCAGTATATAACGTTGCTCCTCCTTTCCCACACACAATTGTTGAACGCTCATTCTGGTAGAGAAAATAGGGGGTCATGAAATATGAAGTAGAAACCCATGGGTAGATTCCATCAGAGATAATGTCTCCATACACACCCGTGAAGCTCACCAATCTGTTAAGTGCCTCACCCTGCCTTAAGCCAGAGAACACTGCAGGAGCCCCCTTCCTCTCTGGGTACTGGGTGCTCTTCTCAAAAGGTGTACCTGCTTCTTTTGCTGGCTGCCAGGTTGATAATTAGAGGTGTATTTCAGCATAACTTGACCTAGGACATACTGGGCTGCTAAAGCTGCTGTTGTCCCTCCCTCTGCTCATACCTTTGACCAGGTTGGGGAAGAGGGAGGAAAACCCACAGGTGGGTCTGGTCAGTGTTTGGTTACAAGCTTTGTCACTGGAATTGGCACAACGGGCACCTGAGTAGAGTAACCATAGTAGCAGAGATGGAAGCTGTGGAGGGCTCCAAAAGCATGGAATCCCTTATCAAATAGAACTGCTTTTCCCACCTCCTAACAGGCAATTGTCAGTAGCAGAGACCAATTTTTTCCCCCACTTGGCTCTTTTCCTTGAGGGGACTCAATAATAATAGATCGACTAATTGTGCCCTTTCTGTCCTGAGTCTGCATTTTCTTTTCACATGGACACTTACTTGAGTCTGCATTTGTTCCTCTCATCCTTAGAGAAATTTCTCTCATTACCCAGGAACTTAGAGACAGTTTGATTAAGATATGAACTCTGATGCAGTGTAGCCTCTGGCCAGGAGCCCCAGCTGCTATGGTCTGAATGTTTGTGTCCTCCGTCAAATTCATCTGTTGAAATCCTATCCATTGAGACAATGGTTTGAGGAGGTGGAAGGTAGTTTACCTTTGAAAGGTAATTAGGTCATGAAGATGGAGCCTTCATGAATGGGACTCTTGGTCCTTATGAAGGCCTGAGGGAACTTGCTTTTCTCTCTTACCATATGAGGACACAGCCAGAAGCCAATAGTCGCAAGATCTGTTGCTGCCTTGATCCTGAACTTCCCAGAACAATGAGAAATAAGTTTCTATTTTTTTCCAGTGTGTGACATTTTGTTATAGCAGCTTAGACTAAGGCTTTAGTTAAAACAAATGAAGTGTGAGTGTGGAGCCATGACTTGGGATTTCCTGTAGCATCCAGAAACTGCCAGCCTCAGAAGGCTGGAAGAGCCAGCTGAGAACATGGCTGGGATGTCCCCAGTTCAGCTTCTTAACTATTTATATCTATATATTTATTTATTATCCTGCAATATACAATGCCTGACTCAGGGGCCCTGACTTTTATCAGGTTATCTACTGAGCCTTGGTTTTTTTTTTTGTTGTTGTTGATAAACTGATGGTAATGCTATAAAGAATATTTTGGTAATATGCTCAAAGCATTTAACACAGGAACCAGCAGTGTGATGTAGCAAGTAAAGTAGCCATATGTGATGCCCACATTCCATTTGAATGACAGTTTATGGTCTAGCTGCTCTGTATCTGACCCAGCTCCCTTGTTAATGGGCTAGAAAAGTGATGGAAGATGATCCAAGTGCTTGGTCCCCTGTGTTCACATGGGAGACCCAGGTGAATCTCCTGGCTTCAGTCTGGCCCAGCCCTGGCTTGTTGCAGCCATTTGAGGGAGGGAACAATTCTCATTTGAGGGAGATGGAAGATTCTCTCTTTCATATAAATAAAAAAAACTTAAAAAAAATATTTAGCATGATACCTGCCATACAGAAAATGTCACAGTAGTTATCATTAAAGAAACTCTTATGTAAACTTTTTTCTGTGTGCTTCTTCAGTGTAAATTGCTGCCAGGCATGCCTATTCCATTCCTCCATGTTTATATTTGTAGCATGACAGGACTTAGTGGGGCAGGCAGTAAGGTCCAAGGGAGGGCCCATGGAACCCTGAGGTTGGTTAACTCCTGGGTTTCTCCTGCACTTGCCACCTTCAGTGCTTATTTCTCTGGTTGTTCAGGTGTCTTTTGCTTTGGAATTCCCAGTCTCACATGGCCTCCCTCTTGTTTGACTTCAGACAAATGATTAACTACACAAAACAACCATTAGCTCTCTTTCTAAGGACATCAGTAACTTCAATGAGTCTAAAGCCTCAATGAGTCTCAGGTCACTTTCTCCTCCACCTGTCTGCAGTGTGTCATTCACAGATCACACTCCCTCTGGCTCTGTCAGAAGCATCTTCATCTTCACTGCCTTCTCTGAGCACTGTTTCCTTCAGGTTGTTTCAGTCACCCCTGGGGTTCAGCTTGTGCTCCTGCACTAGGACTCCCAAAAATCTAGCTGCTACTTTAGCTCCACACCCAATTCAGATCATCTCCCAGCTGGCTTCGGTCCCTGTGCCACAACAACTCAAAATTAAACCTTGCTTCATTCACGCACAAGTCTTCCAGGTTCTCCCTGGCTTAGTGTGGGTAGGAAATAGCCCCACTCCTCCTGTGCCAGACTCTTCATTTGACCTTCACAGCACCTCTGTGAGGAACAATTGCTGGAAAGAAAAAATTCAGGAAGGGAAGAAAATCTAATCCAGGTCTGTGGGAATCTAGACCCCGTGTTCTTCCCAGTCTGTAGGCCTGCCTCCCTTCGTTTACTCAGCAGACCTTCCGATCTACCAAGCTAGGCTGGATGCCACCTGCCCTCTCCAGGCTTGTGGTTTCTTCAGCCACACAGGAGGTCCAATGAATACAGTAGTGTGGAAAGCACTGTGATGGGGTCCTAGGGCCGGAAAAAACTCCACCAAAAAGAAAGCACCTATGTGGAATCGGGGGAAAAAAGAAAAAGAAAAAGAAAAGGCTGGCAGGAATTACTCAGGAATGGAAGGCAAGTGAGAAAGTGATCTTGGACCAAGAAAATGGCCAGCACTGAGTGAATGTACTAGAAACTTGCAACAGGGCAGCCTGGAAGCTTCAAGCAGCTCAGAGGGGCAGGAGGCAGAGCCAAAAGAGTCTGGGATGTACAGGGGGAAAAATGATGGTATTAGTGTGAAAAGAATGGTCTTCACTTTCCTATGGCCATTTACCCTTTCTTTGTACCCTAATCAACTAAGTAAGATTATTAAAAAAAAAAACAAAACAATGACCAAGCAACTTTCTAATATGGTGAAAGTTATTCAGCACAGGCTAAAGGAAGCTTGATGAACCCAATAAAACTAAATTTAACAAAATCATACCTTTAAAATTAATTATAGTAAACATTGATTACTAAAAATATTAACATAAAATCTTTAAAAAAAAAAAAAGTCTGGGATGAGAGTCAGCAGAGAGAAACAAACAGCTTCCATCTGCTGGTTCACTCCTCTAGTGCCCACAACAGCCAGGGTTGGTCCAGGCCAAAGCTGGAGGTGCCAAGAACCCAGTGTCAGGGGCAGAGACCCAACTACTTGAAACATCACCACAGTCCTCATGGTTCTGGGGGTCTGGGGTCTGTGTCAGCAGGAAGCTAGAGTCAAGAGCTGCAACTGCTCACTGAACCTGGATATCTCAGTGTGGCACATGGTGTCCTAACTGGCAGCTTGTACAGAAACACATACTCCCTCATTACTTCTGACTTGGATGATACACTTGTAGTGGATCTTGCTCTGTCTCACTTTTTGGCACTCAAGTCTGCCATACATTGATGACAGGACAATGTGCTGAAGGCAGCTCTGTCATCATCTTCATACTTTGCTCAAAGGCTGTAGTCTGTCTTTGAAGGCCTTCCACAATGTGGTCCCAGCCCAGCATGGGCTAATAGAAGGCTCAGTCTTATAACAGGAGAAAGGAAAAGGGGGCAGTGGCGTATATGTAATTCCCCCAGGGTTCATTCATTCAATAAGAGATTCAGAGTAGTTTCAAATTGCAAAGTAAGATAGCCACAGAAGGGGTTCTGGTTCCAAAATTTCTTTAATGCTTCTGAAGAAGAAATACAGCCAACTGGTAGATTTATTGAAAAGTTTTCAACATTACTAGTTTGAAGTGACAGCCAGAAGAAAGGTGTGTGCTGTTTTAGAAAGGGCTGGTGGCTGCTTGCCCCGTCCTGCTGTGATCTGAGTCAGTAGGGAAACTAGATATGTCTGGCCTACACACCAAGTGCAAGAGCATGTGCGGTATGTAGCTCTGTGTCACAGAGGCTCTGACACCAGGCAAAATTATTTTTAGAGGTGACCTTCTAGGTTCCACTGGAGAGTAAACAGACGGATGCACATGATTTCCGCAGAAAGAGAGAGAGGGAGAGAGAGAGAGACTCGTGGTAAACTAATCAGCACACTAGCCCACGCTATTATCCTATGTCAGGTGAAAAGCTTTACTGAAAGATCCAGCCCAGACAAGATGAATAGGGATAAAGCAGAGAAAAGTTCACAGCACCTAGCAACTCAGACAACTGCATCCATTCCCAGTACATAAAGAATAAAAGGTTTCCAAAGAAACATTAAAAAAATATATATCGTTTTACATTTCAATACTTTCTGCCTGAAAATATGGTTAAAAGCTTTAT